CGGATTAAAATCGCAAAGTACGTCTGAGAAACACAAGTTTCTCTAATGACCCCCTGGAAAACTAGTCCCATCCGAATAGGGTTTTAGTCTGTTTATTTGGCTTCAGAATATGTGTGTACAGTACATGTATATACTGCACTATGCATGAATGTAGTGTTGTCGACATGCAAGAGAAAAGACGATCCATGCAAAGCTTACAAAGCGTAATCTGCATTATGCCTCTGGCAGTCCAGTGAATGATTTCCAGTCTAATGTGAGCAAAGCGCAGCTCCATTTCTCCTGCAGAGTACAGCATGCTCTCACAGCATCGACACAATGGCCAGCTTATAGTCTGATTGCACTTTAGCATTTCCCACTGCTCTGCTAATTGCAGTGACTGCAGCGCTGGTGTTTGCTGCTGTTCTACTTCAACATTGTTAGGAATTCTGAACAGATGTCGGATAATATTTGGATTGTGCTGGATGCCTTGCTTATCTGTTACAATTTAGGCCTGTGAACATCAACAGGCTTGTTAAACTCAGTTGAGCGTTCATTTGTGTCCAGCTTCTTGCAACCTAAAAGCAGCCTTTTCGCAGTGTAATTTTGTTCACTATGCATTCGCTGAATAGTTCATAATAAGGCGTCTTTTTTAATCTTTTCAAGATCCTACCAGGTGGATTAGATAAAATGAACTAGATCCCGGCTACAGAAACCTGGGTCATTTTGTATGCCACAGCATATGTTTAGAAGGCCATTTCCTCACCTAAGAGTATGGAAGCATGAAGGCAAGGTTAATGTTTAACATCCTTAATGTGTTTTTTGTTAGGATAGACTGTGTTTCCGACAGCACAGGCCCATTAAACTTAACCAACACACCCAATGTGCCAACTTGGCATTTTTGTTAAAAAGATAAAGCCTAGCAGACTTTCCCACGTAGTGATCCATTCATGAAAATTATGAGCCCAGATTTTTCAGGCACTTTACTAAGGCTACACAACTAACTGAAATAAAGCCAACCTAGTCAAATGGCTTAGTGTGATTATCAAATTGCAAAGGATGTGGTTTAATTAGATATATGTGCTGTGTGTTTCAAAGTGAAGCATGGCACTGTGTTCTTACACGTGAGCAGCTTATTATCTACCAGTGTTTGCAGTGTTTTAGAGCGGCTCTGTTCACAGTAAATGCTGCTCCACACAAACTTCATCTCTGCATGTGCTCTGATTATGTCACTTTGACATGCATTTGGGAATGCAACATGCACCAACCAACCATCCTCCCATACTTGTAATGAGCAGCTCTTATCAACAAAAGAGAAGATTTAAGGGCACACTGCATCTTTCCATCAAAATAAAAGTTTGGTTTATTGTTTGAAAATGAAAAAAATTAAGACAGCCATACATATAAGTATTGTAATTTTACAGCTGTAATATAAAATAATAATTGTAATTGTAATTGTATTTATTTATTTATGTATTTATTCATATTAGTTTATTATTTATTTCACCCCCTCCCCCCAAATTGTGCAGCCCTGTTTCTTTGTCTGTGATAGAATTATGTTTTTTGTTTAATGCAGGACTAAATGAAGGATCTGCATTATTGACTGGGCCAAACAGTGTTCTGTATGTTCCATTGTAGTGACTGTAGCAGAGAAAGTCATATGTGTAGTCTGTAGAGACCAGATTTGGAACTGTTAGATAAAAACTTCCTCTGCTGCTCCGAAGGCTTCTTTCCTCAGATATTCATCTCTCTGTCTACATGTGATAGAATCGTGTTATATCCTGTAATGATGGTTTGTTGGCAAAATATAAAGCATCACAGCAATGCCAGCAAATCTGAGACTGTATGTTTATCTGAACTGAGTTCCATGTCATCAAATTGTTTGTTTGACCACTGAACCATTTTGCAGTCATACAGCATAGCTGGTCAGGCATATTCTTCTTCATAGTTGGATCTGTTGAGTTCACTGTTGCATTTTCTCAATGTTTGATCTAAATTGAGCAATTTTCTGCTTTTCATCAGGTCTAATGTTGGGGATTATTGTTAGATTGATTTAAGATTGTGAAACAAGCAAATGGCCATATTTGCAGTATCAGTGGCAAAGAAACAGCTTTGAAGTCACCTCAGATGTGTTTGAGGAGGGATGAAATGATGCCATCCCTTGAGGAAATGTGACACTTGTTCAAGCAGAGTTTTAACTGCCTTTGTTATCTGACCTTCTGACATAAATCTCTCAAGCGAAGTGTATTTTACAAAGAGTAAAATTACACACAGTCAGGAATTTGCAGTTTGCTAGTTTGTCAAGCATTTTTGAAAGCCCTGAGTCTATTCCTGTTATGTTTCTTTTCACACTGCTCGGAATTGATTCAGATTTAGAGAAGGTTTACTCCACAATGAAAGTTAAATGAAAGAATCATTCACTCACCTTCAGGTCATTCCAAACCTGTATAACTTTTTTGCCTGCATGAATAGAGGGACAGAAATATTTTAGGTTTCATTAAAAATAATTATATTTTTGTTTCAAAGATGAACATAAGTCTTATTTGGAATGGCATGAGGGTGAGTAAATGATGACAGTATTTTCATTTTTGGGTAAACTATCTCAAGTATATATACCATGGAGCAAGTGGTTTTTGATTAATTTAAAATTGGTTGACTTTAGTGTCCTGCTGAACTAAAACTGAATTGCTATTTTATATTGCATTACATTAATGAATAATATGAATAAAAACTTGCAAGAAGAACTAAGGATCATTAGGAAGTTACTTAACAATTACTTAAACTTGTTCTTTTAGAGCGTTTGCGAAGTAATTCAGACATCTGCTTTAGAATGCAGACATTCGAGAACCACTTAACTGAATATGGTACAGGATCTGAATATGAACCAGATTCATGCTAGTGCATTCATTGTTATTCAGTTGCTAAGGCAGGCTAGATGGTAGGTTGTTGCTAGGTGGTTGGTAGGCTGTTGACAAGTGGTTGCTAGTGTGTTCTGGATAGTTGCCAGATGGCTAAGGTGTTTTGGGTGGTTATGTTGCTTGGTGGTTGCTAGGGTGTTCTGGATGGTTTTTAGGTGGTTGCTAAAAGGTATTTTTGGATGGTTGCTGAGGTGTTCTGGGTGGTTGGTATGTCAATAGATGGTGGTTAGGGCGTTCTGGATGGTAGGTTGCTGCTAGGTGGTTGGTAGGTTGTCACTAAGTGGTTGCTAGGGTTTTCTGCATAGTTTTAAGATAGTTTCTAAGGTGTTGCGAGGGTGTTCTGGATAGCTAGGTGGTTAGGCAAGTATATGAGAAATATATCTATAGAAAGCTTGTAATGTCTAATTTTGCATTTCTCTGTAATTGCACGACCACAGATGTTTAATGTTCAAGATTCAAGTTCACCACTGTACAGCAGAGATGGCGAATCGGCATAGTCCGCTTCATCTTTGCAGCTGACACGGACTCAGAAAACACTAGTTTTTTTATAAATAATTAAAATACCTCCTTGCTATTTTTTTTTCCGACACATTCATAGTCATTACTTTTGGTGGTGCTTTGCGGCAAGATTTATGCATGTGCTTGAGCGTGGAATAGGCTATTAAAGGCAATTATAGGCTATTAAAGGCTCATTATTAAATTAATATTCAACATGCGATTAGTCGACTAATGGCTTAAATGAACGACTACTAGTCGACTAGAAAAAGTTTAGTCAGGGACAACCCTATTTTTTTCTTGGTGATTAGTACGTTTTCTTTCCTCACCAGTTTTGCCATCTGACATGCAAAAATCAAATAAAACAAAGATAATAATAATAATAAAAACACTCTACCCTACAAGCTTCATGATTTGAGGCATCATATATAGCCCCCCTAAAATGACTACTCAGCCCCCCTAAAATTTTGCGATTAGCTCCATAAACTGTACACGAATTTGTGATCGCCGCAATCCCATTTAAATTTCATATGAAAACTGAAGGCGATCGGCTCCTCCCCTTCTTTCAGCGCGTTCTTTTTCAATCCGCAGACCACAGTGGCGCAGAGCGAGAAACAATTAGCTCCATAAACTGTACACGAATTCGTGATCGCCGCAATCCCATTTAAATTTCATATGAAAACTGAAGGCAGACTTCGATCGGCTCCTCCCCTTCTTTCAGCGCGTTCTTTTTCAATCCGCAGACCGCAGCAGCGGCGCAGATCGAGAAA